GTAGCTGGAGAAGGATATCATGTTTGGTAAAGTGGAGGGTCAGAGAAAAAGAGGAAGACCCCCAATGAGATGGATTGGTACACTGGCAGCAGCAATGGGCTCAAGCATAGCAACAGTTGTGAGGATGGCACAGGAATGGGCAGTGTTTCATTCTGTTGTGCACAGGGTCACTGTGAGTCAGAACCAACTCAATGGCACCTAACAACAACTATTTTGAGGAATCGGCTCATCCCTAGTTATATGCTGAGTGCCTTCCAACCTCAACTTGAGGGCTTATCTCCCAGCACTGTATCTGACAATGTCCAGCTGCTATTTATAAGGTTTCAGTGACTTACCGTTCAGAAGTGGTCTGTCTACCTCTCCTTCTTAGTCTGCCTTAGTCTGGAAGCTCCACTGAAACCTGTCTGGCATAGATGACCCTGTGATTGTTGTTTAGTGTCTTCAAGTCAGTTCTGACTCATAGTGACCTATCTGTATAGGGTTTCTGAGGAGCAGCAGGTGGATTCAAACCCCTGACCTTGCAGTTCAAACCAACCTTGCAGTCCAGTGCTTATCCTATAGCTTCCAGCATCACAGCAACACCCAATCCACCACACTGCAACAAACTGACAGGCAAGTGTTTTGGGTCTTACTATATGCCAGGCACTGGACTAAGCATTTTCCCTATTTTATACCATTAAATCTTCATTGTTGTTGTTAAGTGCCATTGAGTCAGCTCCAACTCATAGCTAAGGTTTCTGAGGAGTGACGGGTGCATTGAAACCATCAATCTTGTGGTTCAAACTGACCTTGCAGTTCCCTGCTTATCCTACAGTGCCACACCAGGATTCCTTGAATCTTCATAAAGCCCTATTTTATAGACAAAACTGAAATCACACCTCTAGGAAGTGACAGAACGAAGACTAGAACTCAGGCCTGCCTGGCTGAGTGTCCATGCTCTTACTCAATGCTGAAGTCTTCCTCCAAGTAGCTGCAAAGGACCTGGGATGTGCGCAGTCCTGTGCTGGGTGCTAGGACATCTACGTGAGAAGCATTGCCTGGTCCCAGGAACTTCAGTTTGGCTGAAGAAGCCAAACACATCTGCCAACTGGAAAAGGAATTATCTCGGAGCCTAGTACCAATCACATGGGGCAAGCATACCAACGAAAATGCCTGGGAATCTCTTGAGAGAGAAGCGCGAGGGACTGGTCTGCCAGGTCAGCATGACCATTCCCATGTTAGAATTGCGGGAATGAGGCTTAGAAAGGTAGGCTATGCTGTCAGTAAGAGTCTAACACAACTTTGGCTCCAAAGCCTTTATTAAGTCCTGAGAGGCTTCTCGAAGGTGGCTTCAAAACAAGGTGAGATTCTGCAGATGAAAGGAGGGCAAAGGAAACTGGAAAGGCGGGTTGGAGACAAATGTGGAACGAGACCAGGGGATACTGTCTTTCTCTGTGCCTATCCTGCCCTACTTCTCTTGGACACCAACTAGGTCTGCTTTGAAACAAATTAAGTTGTGACTCACTTCTACTTGGCCACTCGCCCTGGTGCCCAGGAATCACCATGCTCATGGGGTCCTTGCCAACCCAACTCAGCCTCAGTCTATTCTCCCCAAAACATTTGTTCCCATCCGAATGTCCTCCATTCCAACATCCAGGAGAGCACGGGTCTTGGGTTAGACAGGCCTGGCCTCCAATTCCCGCATGGCCACTTACTGGCTGAGGTACCCTGGGCGAGCCACCGAGCCTCCCATTCTTCCTCTGAAGAGCAGAGCTGGAGACAGTGGTCGCCGCTTGTCACGGCCTTAGACATATATAGGAAGGCCCTGGGGCATTCAGAAAGGGTCCACAGAACAACTCTGAATTCCCAGTCCCAAGTAGATTTGCACCTTGGAAAAGATGGTATTGAAGCTGGGCCCAGAGTACACACAGGATTTGTGTGGAGCCTAGGAAGACAAAACAGCAGGACAAAAGGAATCGGGTGTAGGAGAGGCCAAGTGGCTTTATGGAAAAGAAAGAGAATTGTATGGCTGTTTTCCACACCTTAGAGAGACTTCTGCCTTGCCCCAGCCCAGCTCCACCATCCCAGGAAAGGACAAAGCAAGGAATGCCACCTTCGTGTGGCTGAAACAGGCCATACCTTCACCAGAAACAATCATCTAGCTTGCTGAGAGCCCCGCTGCTACACCCCGGACCACCACAGTCCTTTGTCTCCACAGCCTCGGGACCAGCAGGCTTTGCCACGGTCCCCCACTAGCAAACAAGGCTTCAGCCTGGGAGCACTGGCCCTGGACGGAGGTGGGAGCACTGGAGCCAAAGGTCCAGGACCAAGACTGGTTACAAAAGACTGGAAAAGCTACTGCCATCAGCTTTAGGGGCAAGGTAGCATGACCACATTCTCCAGACCTCCAGAAGCCTCCTGTGCTAATCACTGAGGCCAAATGCTCCCCAACCCTGGTAAAGAACCCAGAAAATGAACTGGACTTATCCTGCCACACCGATTTAGGGTAACCTAAGGAAGTTCTTGTAGCGTAGTGGTTACGAATCGGGCTGCTAATCTCAAGGTCGGCAGTTCGAAACTACTTGTGGTTCCATAGGAGAAAGATGAGGCTTTCTGCTCCCGTAAAGATTTGCAGCCTCGGAAATCCTGTACATGGTCACCGTGAGTCAGAACCGACTTCACGGTACTTGACAACAAGAAGGAAGTTCTTGACTTCATGCATGGGAGATGGTAAGAGGTGAACTGCCTGTATTTTCCGTAGGGGTTTAGGGTCGCCATGAGAACCACGGAGCCAGACTGCCAAGTTCAAGTTCTGGCCCCACCACTTTCTAGCTGGGTATTTTTGACAAATTATTTAACCATCCAGTTGACCATCTGTAAAATGAGGTTCCTTATCTGTAAAATGAGGATTAAAAGTTATCTACTTCATAGGATTGTTCTGATGAGTTAAAGTTTGTAAGATGCTTTAGGAGCCCTGGTAGCGCAGTGGATCATGAGCTGGGCTGCTAACTATAAGTTCTGTAGTTCGAATCTACCAGTCTCTCCACAGGAGAAAGATGAGCTTTCTGTTTCTGTAAAAATATGCAGCCTCGGAAATCCTACACAGGGTCACTATGAGTCACCTATAAGCTTTAGCTTCCACCTATAAGCTTTAGCTCATATTATGATCTTCTTCCCGAATCTCTTTCTTCCTCACTCAGCTAAGCTGAGAATGCCTTGGTATCCTTGTTCTCCTGAGGTCAGAGCAAGGGGGACCAAGAGTCCCAGTGTATGGATATCGGCATGAAGAATGAGGCAGCAGAAGTCTCCCTAAGCAAGCTCACAAAGGCCTTGCACCCCAAGGTCTACTAATACTTAGGGGAGGAGGTCATCAAGAATTTGGGGTATACCTGAGGCTGCCAAAGAGGCACAAGAAATAGAGGAGAGAGGATCACACCAGGCCGAGAAGTGGGGCTGCCCCGCAGGTCCCATCAGCCCTCTCTCTCCGTTTGTTTGCCCTTCCCCCTTGGTCTTTGGGGCAAAGATGTGTACTGGTTCAGGCCTGGAAATACCAGAAATACCAGAAACTGAAGTCGTCTCTCTTTGGGCGGCCACAGCACAAAACCAACCAACATGATCCTGCTATTAACCTCGATTAACTTGGAGAAGATTCCGTCTCAGGCTGTCAAGGCCCCGTTGCTTCAGCCAAGCCCCCAGTGCCAGCCCAAAGTGGTCATGTGGGGGGCAGCGTGAGTAGGAGAGAGGATGGTGGGCAGTGTCCGCAGCTCAAGGCCCGAACCGAGAACAAAGTGTCCCGAGTCGTCGGGCTGAGCTGCCTCCCACCCGAGCACCAGCTTCTGCTGCCTCTGTCCACAGACACGGCACAGAGGAGGTGATTGTTTGCTCTAACCACGGTGACTGCTCCCCGGGGCAGCCAAGAGCACAGGCCTGGGTGTCGCAGAGGTAATTGCCAACCACAGGGCCAAAACTGCCCCCTCCACTCCTGCGGACACGGGCACTCCAGCAAGAGACAGAAGGACAGTCACGGGCATACAGAGGCCCTCACAGGGCCCCAGGAGGGAGCAGGGCTGTCTGGTCACACACCCAGCTGGCCATGCACATATGCATTGCACACACACTCCCCCAGCAAGTCTCCGCAGCTGCTACACCCCCCATGCCCCCGGCACACTTCTACCCATCACAGTCCTAGGAAGATAAAAACACCCATTCAGGCAGGGGATGGAGGAGGGCAGCCACCGAAATAGAATCAAAGAGCAGCCATGGGGGAAAGGGAAAGATAGGCAGCAGAGGTAGTCAGATCTGTGTTCCTGAACCTTCATTTTGTCATCTGTCAAATGGGGATACAGCTCTAGTGGTGGAGGGCTTATATATAATAGGCACCTAGTGACCAGCAACAGTTGTGTTAGGAGCTGGTCTTACTATGACTGACTTTGTTATTATTGTGGTATATATGTAATAAGACATTTGCCATTTCAACATTTTATATATGTACAATTTAGCAACATTATGGTTTACTCTTTAAAGTTATAAGGAAACTTAGGACATATTTAGAAACCCCACTCAGAGCTCAGTGGGATCAGCTGGGAAATGGAGAAAAAGAAAGGTTTGGAGGAGGCTGGCCCTGGATCTATTGTCTAGCGCTGCTACGTCATAGTTTCAAGCTCTGTCCTGTGGGTAAGTCAGCTCACCTCTCTGAGCTGTTCTGTCTTCCATAAAATGATGTTACATTACTAATCTTCTGGAAGCTTCTGAAAACAGTATCTCTCTGCTGGCTCAAGTTGCCTAACCGCTCTCTGAAATGGGGGTGCTAAGGGATGTGGATTAGATAAGCAATACAAATAGAACTTCGGGCAGTGTTGACATAGTCATAACAAGAACAAGTGCCAGTAGTGTGCCGGGCACACCTGAGTCCCACCTGCCTTGTTCTCCATGGGCTCCCGCCATTTAGGAGGCCCTTTGTCCCAGACCCCTTCTGAAAAGCACTGAAACCTAGCTTTGTCCTCCCTCTTGCCTCCCCACAGGGACTCGGGAGGCGGCTTTTGTGTATGCCATCTCGTCAGCAGGTGTGGCTTTTGCAGTGACACGGGCGTGCAGCAGTGGGGAGCTGGAGAAGTGTGGCTGTGACCGGACAGTACACGGGGTCAGCCCACAGGGTAAGTGTAGGAGGAGGACTGGGGCCACACCTTCCCCTGCCCTGTCTCCCTGGGCCCCAGCCCTCACCCATTGCGGCTTTCTCTATGCCCCACTGCACTCCAGGATTCCAGTGGTCAGGATGTTCGGACAACATCGCCTATGGCGTGGCCTTCTCACAGTCGTTTGTGGACGTCCGGGAGAGAAGCAAGGGCGCCTCATCCAGCCGGGCCCTCATGAACCTTCACAACAATGAGGCTGGCAGGAAGGTAGTGTGACAGCCACCCACCACCACTCGGGGAGGGATGGGCATGACTTGGAAAACAATTGCTCAGCTTCTGCCCAGCCCTGCACCTCCTGCAAGCCACGCACTGAGCTGGGTGATGTGCACATAGGACCAGGTCCCAGACCCTGCAGGCAGTGAGCCCCCAGGCTAGCAGAGCATGGGACGTGGACAGTTGAGCAGGTGTACACTGTAAACCGACCCCAGAACAGCACACATGCTCCCTACCCAGACAGAAGAGGGGCTTCAAAGAGTTGGTGGGAACATTCCAGCATCTTTTAATTCCACATTTGCAGGTGATTTTTGAAGTTGCCTTGTAGTGTGTGTGTATATCCAGTCTTCTGTCATCATACCTCCCCCAAATGAAAAGAACGAGTCCTCCGCTGTGTCTCAAAGCCACGTGCATTAACTGACACCACGTAGCTTCTCAGTACCTACGTTCAAGGTTCCTGTGAAGATTAACAGCAGTGTCTTTTCCCACCATACCACCTGTCACTCACTGTTTCACGTGACACTGACAAGAGATCAGTGTCAGACATCATTATAGCTCATAATGATCTGATGCCCCATAATGCACAGTTCAATCCCAGCTCAGTTTACCGATGTGCAAAGGGAAGTCCCTAGGTAAGTTCAGCTAACTGACTCTTGAGTCCACCCAGAGGTGCTATGGAAGAAAGGCCTGGCCATTGACATTCAAAAAGTCACTCATGAAACTCCTAAGCTGCACAGTTGCACTCACAGCAACGGGTGGATACCGATTGACAGTCAATCTGCGATCTAGGGATGTGCCCCGATGACCCACTGTCTGCTCCATGGCTTCCTCCCAGCCTCCACTGACCTCTTCTCTCCCCCTGCCCCTCCCAGGCTATCCTGACGCACATGCGGGTGGAATGCAAGTGCCACGGGGTGTCGGGCTCCTGCGAGGTAAAGACGTGCTGGCGGGCTGTGCCGCCCTTCCGCCAGGTGGGCCACTCGCTGAAGGAGAAGTTTGATGGTGCCACTGAGGTGGAGCCACGCCGTGTAGGCTCCTCCAGGGCTCTGGTGCCCCGTAACGCGCAGTTCAAACCACATACAGATGAGGACCTGGTGTACTTGGAGCCTAGCCCAGACTTTTGTGAGCAGGACATGCGCAGTGGCGTGCTGGGCACGAGAGGCCGCACGTGCAACAAGACGTCCAAGGCCATCGACGGCTGTGAGCTGCTTTGCTGCGGCCGCGGTTTCCACACGGCGCAGGTGGAGTTGGCGGAACGCTGCAGCTGCAAATTCCACTGGTGCTGCTTTGTGAAGTGCCGGCAGTGCCAGCGGCTCGTCGAGCTGCACACGTGCCGATGACCTCCTGCCCGGCCACACGCCCAGCAACCATTTAGTGGCCCGGGGAAGGCCGATAATTTAAGCAGTCCCTCACCACCTATCCCAAAAGATACTGGCTGTATTTTTTGTTTTGGTTTGGTTTTTGGGTCCTCATGTTATTTATTGCTGAATCCAGGCAGGCCACCCTAAGGTCACCAATCAGGGTCTCTCTGAAGTCTAGGCTTTTGTGGCTGCCACTGACCAAAGGGCAGCCTCTGGCTATCACATGGGCTGCTGCTGACCACTCCGTTGTGAGCTGTGCCTGCGTTTCTCCTTGCAGACTTAGGTGGGTAACACGGAGTTACAGCCATGTGACTGACTACCAGCCCTGCCGTCTAGAAGAGGGTGGTGGTCTGAGACAAGTCGGTGTTGTGGTGGAAGTCACCCCCACCCCACCAGAAAAGACTCTGAACTGTCCAGTCCCACACATACACACACCCTCCCATCAGCTTGAGTCTGGCAGCCTTGTCTCTCAAGCCCCTGGAAAAGGACTAAGCAGAGAGCAGGTCAAAGGTGAAGGGTTCACTTCCGCCCTCACATGGGTAGCTGAGAGGCCCAAGCTCTGGGACTTTCCAGGCAGGAAGAGCAGGTGAGGTGAAAGCAAGAGAAGCTACAGTCCCACCCAAAGGCCATCCCATGTCCAGGCTCCCCCAGTCCCTCTCAGGCTGAGATCCAGTGGGGGCAGAGGGGGGAGGGGGCCGCAATGGCCCCATCTGAGTCACTAATAGTGCTCTTTCTCCGAGAGAGGGAAAAGGCTGTGCAAAAAGTTCTCTCCCAACCATATTTCACTCACTTAACAAAATTTACTTAACAAATACCATGTTACAGGCTGTGTGCTGGGCCATCACTTGATGATCACCACAGCCCTGGGAGGCAGACCAAACAACTGAGAGGGAAGTGATGGCCCCAATCACACCGTGCGCTAGATGAAGAGGCTACGCCACAAAAGCCCCCCAGTCCACGCAGCTCCCTGGCTCCTTCAGCCACAGGCAGAGAGACTTTCAGTTCTTTGGGTCTGAACCTTGGGGAGGGGGCTCTGGCTGGAGGGTGAGAACAGGACAGCAGCAGGAATCCCACACTGCCAGCTGAGCAGCTCCTGAAAGATGAAGTGCTCCGCTGGAAGGCTGGTTCTCTGAAGTGCCAGGTTTCATGGGTACTGAAGAGTCCCCACGAAGGAGCAGCAACCTGTAAACAGAGCATGTGCAAAGCAAGGCTTGGCCTTTGACCCAGCCATTTCCCAGTGGGCATCCAAGCATCCGAGGAACATTCTGTCAGAGAGGTTACCCAGTCTCCACACTGCCTTCTCAGTGAGGCTCCACGTTTGAGGTTTTAAGTTCTGGGTTCCCCATTTGGGGTCCCCAGACCAAGCTCTTGACTCCAGAGTTCAGTGTCTAAATTCAGCCTCAGAATCAGAATATGGCTCCAGGCTGCAGAAACTCCTCCAGGCCTCATGGTTTGTGCCTCCTGGTATTGGTTCTTTCACAAAGAGGGTCAACACCCTTGGCCCCCATCCAAGCTCTCTGCTTAATGTCCATCCCGAAAGGAGGCCAAAACCAAGTAAGATGCTGGAGCCGAATGTGGGGATAATCTTGGGGCAGGCCAGCTCTGATGTGGATGAAAGCTGAGCCATCTGTGTGCCCACAGCTGCCCAGTTGGACGCACTGCTCCTCTGGCGGGCTCAGTTCAGCTGGCTCTCAGCACCAGGGAAAACACTATCCCGCACTGACAGAAGGCAGACCCAAAGGACGCAGTGGGGACCCCTCCCCCTCCAGAGACTAGGACTGAGCCACTCTCCTCCATTCCAGTGCTGTCCCCAGTGCTGAGGGGAGATCAAGTCCAGGCTGGTATGCTGCTGGTGAGAAGAGTCTGTGTCCGCTCAGAGCCCTCACCCCGCTGCCTGCCTGCGGGCTGTTCAAGGCCCATCCTCCTGGGATTCAGAAGGACCTTGGAGAATCGGACCAGATTCTGGGAATTTCTGCCTACCACTCAAGCTGTTATTACCACCACCACCATCACTACCCCAAAGGAAAGTGGAGCTACCTTTGACACAACCAGCTCCAAATTGCGCCTATAACGGAGACGGGGAACCGACACAGGACCCAAACATAGCCCATCCATTCTTGGTCCCTTAGGGGCCTGGGAGCTGGCTAGAGGTCCCTGTCCTCTCTGAAACCCTCTCTGTTGGTCTCATGGCAAAGGGCATGCGCTCTGAGGTCTAGGGCTGGCTGACAAGCCCCCGCTCTGGATGCTGCTACCCATCTCTGCTGTCCCCACCCCTTGTCCAATTTTTATACCACGCTCCTTGCCATTGTGACAGCCCCATGATGCCCCATGACATAGGCTGACACACGATAAAATGATTATTTCTTTATCTCGCACTTGTGGCAGTGAGTGTTGTTTTTTTTTAGCAGACAGAAGAGAAACTTGGGAACAAGGGAAAAGCAGATAAAAAATAGTTTCAGTTCTAGATATGAGAAGCCCCGTTTCTTCTGAATAACTAATTGGTTTACATGCCACAAGGACTCAACCAGTACACCATCTGAAGTTCCACCAATAACACACAGAAACCGGATCGGCACCTCACTGAACCATGATCAGCTGTTTAAACCTTGGCCTGAATAAGCTGTCCAAACCTTTCTTCACTGTTGCTGTGGCGAGGAGGGACAAATCCAGGGCAGAAGAGGGTCTGGGAAATTAGGTACTGACACAAGAGGCAGGAAACCATGGAAAAAAACTTAGGAGGGGACTTCAAAAAGTTTGTGGAAAAATTCCATTATCTTTTAATTCCATTTTTCCAAAACCTTTCTGAAGTCCTCTTGTAGTATTATTGCCCAAAGACATAGTTACATACAGGACAGCCTGTATGTAGCTGGTGAACTCCAAGATTGGAGCCCCATCAGGATAGCAAGTCAGGATGGAGAGCTTCATATGAGGGTGCTTCAAAAACTGTGTGGATAAATGGAATTAGTAGATAAAGGGATTTTTCCACAAACTTTTTGAAGCTCCCTCATGTAACTCCAGTCAGAAATCACAGCCAAGCAGGCACCCTGCAGGTAGGGAAGCCCAGGGTGGCTTCTAGGAACCTAGTCTTGTTGAGCGAAGTCCTCACCCTTAAAAAGGAAGACCACAGGCTTTGTCCATCACCCACCCCCTATCCCACCTCTCCACAGTAAATCCAGACCAACCTGTGAACAGCAAGTCGAATGAAGCCCATTAGGCTGATCGTGTGGGGTTAAAGAGGGCTGGATGCTTTCAGCATGGTAAGGGCACACATAAATTTGTGGACAATTGGGTGAGGGTGGGGCGGTTGAGGAGAACATTTTTTAAGAGGAAGAGTCAAGACAAAGATAAAAGGTCTCGAGTACAGATGGACAGAAAAGGGCACTGCATCCTCAAATTAAGAGGTCAGAGGCAGAAAGACGGGAATTGGTGAGGCAGGGGGTCCAAGATGGCAGAGCAAAGTGGTAACGTTGCCCGTGCCTAATCGTTTTCTAGAACTGTGAAAAGGAGCCAGGCTTCGGATCCTAGTGTTGCCACTTCCTTACTAAATGGAACCTTAGCAACTCATTTTCCTTCTGGGGTTCATTTTCTTCATCTCTAATATGGAACTGCCCCCCATGCCGCCTCCCACCCCACTACCTCATTTCAAAAGGAGCAAAATACTAATAGATCCAGCTTCTTGGGGATGTTAAATAAGATATGTAAAGCTCAATAAATGGCAGCTGTCAGTCCTGATGTGGCGTTGTAGGATAAGCACTGGACTGCTAAGCATGAGATTGTCAGTTCAAACTCACCAGTCGTTCCCCGGAAACCCTATACAGGGTTCCTATTAGGGGAACCTCTCTTTGGAATGGGCACAAATACGGATCTCTTCCAATCAGTCGGCCAGATAGTTGTCTTCCAAGTTTCCTGGCAGAGATGAGTGAATGCCTCCAGTGCCGCCTCACTTTCTTGAAAGATTTCGATTTTTATTCTGTCAATTCCTGGTGCCTTGATCTTTGCCTATTCCTTCAATGCACCTTGGGCTTCCACCTTTAGTATCATTGGCTCTTGATTATATGCTACCTCTTGAACATCAACCATTTCCTTTTGGTACAGTGACTCTGCGTATTCCTTCCATCTTTTTTTGATGCTTTCTGCATCATTCAATAATTTGCTCAGAGAATCCTTCAATAACAAAAGTCGAGGCTTGAATTTATTCTTCAGTTCCCCCAGATTGAGAAATGCTAAGCATGTTCTTTTTGGTTTTTTGACTCCAGATCTTTACACATATTGTAATATTTGACTTTCTTTTCTCGAGCTGAACTTAGAAATTTTCTGTTCAGCTTTTGCCTCCTCATTTCTTCCATTTGCTTTAGTATCTCTATGCTAGCGAGTAAGTTTTAGTGTCTCTTCTGACATTCATTTTGATTTTTTCCTTCTTTCTTTTTAATGATATTTTGCTTTCTTCCTGTATGATGTTCTTGATGTCATCCCACAACTCTTCTGGTCTTTGGTCTTTAGTGTTTAATGTATCAAATCTGTTCTTCAGATGATCTCTAAATTCAAGGTCGTATTTGGTTCTCGTGGACTTGTTTGCATTTTCTTCAGCTTCAGTTTGAATTTGCATATGAGCGACTGATGGTCTGATCCACAATCTGCCCCTGGCCTTTTGTTTTCACTGATGATATGGAGCTTTTCCATCATCTCTTTCTGATTTCTTTGTATGCCGGAAATGACAAATTGAAGAGAAATGAGTATTCCTGAACACTTAATTGTACTCATGAGAATTGTGACCAAGATGCAGTTATTCGAACAGAACATGGAAACACTGAATGGTTTAAAATTAAGAAAGGTGTGTGACAGGGTTGTATTCTTTCGCCATACTTATTCAACCTGTATGCTCAGCAAGTAATCCGAGAAGCTGGCTTATATGAAGAAAACTGTGGCATCAGGATTGGAGGAAAACTCCTTAACAATCTGCAATATGCAAATGATACAATCTTGCTTGCTGAAAGTGAAGAGGACTTAAAATACTTACTGATGAAGATCAAAGAGCACAGCCTTCAGTATGGATTACAT